TTTTTTTTTTTTTAAGGGGGGAAAATCATCGAATGACTGCTCCCGCCTGGGTGAGGCGGAAGGGAGTGTCAGACTCTTACTGACTAAAAACCACCCCGTTCCTTCTCCTGCACGTCGAGCCGGAGCCCCGGTTACCCGTTAGGTTCTCCGCGACTCCGAATCGGCAACAGCCCTATTGGGCTCCATCTGTGGTGGTCTGATGGCTCTTTGACACACGCGCGGAACGCGACGCGCCGTACGCTCGGGTCTGTTTCTGGTTGGACGGGGAGCCACCCATGCTCGCCGTCCGCAGTCCCGCGCTTACGGCGACCGGAGATCGTCTCGCGATCCCCGACGCCCGGTGGGTGTGACCCGCGATGGCTGGGTTGCGAGGAGGCAGCGCTTCGCTGCCTCACGCGTCCCGCCTCCTCCTTAGCTAGCATGACTGTTTCGCAAAAGGAGGAGACGGCATCCCACTCCCCCTCGCATTGGGGAGATTGGGGAAGCCTCACTAACATGACGAAACACAACACAAACGTTGTTTCACGTCGGTTTTCTGTGAGGTCGTGGGATCACTCCGGTCCGGAGCATGGGTTCCCCACATTTCCAATTACAATAATTATTAAACTTCATAATGATTCAATAATTAAAAGTGTGTAATTCATATTCTTAGATTTTATTATAGGTATATGGTTCATTGTAGATGGACCTAATGAAAGCGTGGTATACCCCTCTATGTTTAATACTAAGAATAATTAGAATATGAGTGCATAAATATTTATGTTATAATTAAAATTCAGTTCATTCGAAAGATATTCATTTTATTTTAATACTTTAATTTAATTATGTATGACAAAAATAATAATAGGTATCATTATCAGAATTCTATATATTTAAATAAACTTGAAATTATAGCAAATTAATATTTTGGAAATATGGAAATCATAACAGGTAATAAACAAACAAATTTATAAATACATACAAATGGAGGTACATATAGATGTACTTCTATATTTATTATTAGACTTATAAATATCCTACCTACACTCCCCTAATACAATTCTTCTAATGAGTATTACTAACGAAAATATAACTGAACGAAATTCAGATCCTACCTAACAATGCCCGAATAGTGTCAATAACAATAACATCACGCTTTTTATCTCCGAAGGGGTACCTCCAGTATTCGAACACCCAGACGAATCATACCTACACGCATGTTACTGGAGTATCTCACTTCTGATAATACCTATTACTATTACTAAAAAGCATAATCTTTAAACAGACATTTAGAATAGATTAGAATAGATAAAAAAGA